AACTTTTTTTTTGAAAGGAATGTTGCAAATACAAATAATAAGCTTATATATCTCTTCACTCATATTAGCATTACCATTGCCGTTTAGGCCCAAGCGGTGCGCCACCGTCGCCGCCGCCGACGCCGCCATTGCCATCTCCGGTGAACTCCAAACCGTGAGCAGCATGATGAGCATCGCGGCGCCCATAGCCAACCGAGGCATTTCCTCCATAGCCGTACAGTACGAAAACGTGCAAATTAACTGCAAAGCAAGAGCTTAGTCGAGCTAGCTAATTAAGGAGCTAACACACAGCAATTAACAGTGCATGGCATCTCGAGACGAACTGCATGTATATATATAGGTAGAAGTATACGTATACACGGTTTTTTTAAAAAAAAATAAGTATATGTATACAGGCACTACTAATTAAGCAATTAAGTAATAGTAATTAACTAGGACACTAACACGCAACCAACGTACACACGGTTTATACACTGTCAAAATGGCTAGTTGACAGTATTTTTTTTAATACTATTTGTGTTTGGTAATGTACGTAGCCAGTCAGAAATTCGGAGTGTTTCCCAAGTATAGTAGTATACTCCAGATCAGGTACAGACTGTGTCAATGCATGTCAGAGAACGTCTCGATTGGGTATTCAGTTATACTATTCCTGTAACTACCTGCTCCTTACTATACGTTTATATAGGCCCTGTTTAGTTCGCGAAATAAAAATTTTTTGATGTCACATCGGACGTTTGATCGGATGTTGGAAGGGGTTTTCGGACATGAATGAAAAAACTAATTTCACAGCTCACCTGGAAACCGCGAGACGAATCTTTTGAGTCTAATTAATCCGTTATTAGCACATATAGATTACTATAGCACTTATGGCTAATTATGGACTAATTATACTAAAAAGATTCCTCTCGTGATTTTCATCATAACTGTGTAATTAGTTTTTTTATCTATATTTAATGCTTCATGCATATATATACAAAACTTCGATATGATGTTTTTAGAAAAAAAATTTTAGAACTAAACTGAGCCATACGTTGCAGAATGTAGAAATAATAATCAATCATTGACTTGACTTGACTTGAAACTGAGATTGAGTTAATTTATGATAATAATTTTGATGGTACATACAAATAGCTTAAATGCTACTAAAAAGTTAAAAAAAAAACGTTGGTTTAAAAAAATTTTCTAATAAAAGTAGATGGAAAAAGTTCTTAAAAAAAACATACTATTTAAGAGCTTGATAAGCATATATAACCACAATAAAATAATCTAAAAAGAATGGAACCTATCGAAACCCACATGCAGAGAATATGAGGGTGTAAGTGACTAATCCACTAAATCCAGTTATAAACTAAAATAAGCTACGAATATCTTATTATGATCTATATATGCGTGGGTTTGTGGCATACCAACTTATACACCTAGTAGAGAACAGTTCGTGTATACGAATACGAGTAGAGCAGTCTGGTGTTCTTTCTTAGAGGCTAAGGTTAGTTTTTGTAGGGATGACCAAATCATTGGGACTCCATGATTAGCACCAAACAGGCGCGTCGTCCCCTGTAATACGGTGCAAACGACGATGCGTTGTCTCGATCGGCTGACGAATTCACTGGTGGAGAAACCATCTTTGGTCGGTCGCCCGAAATCCACAATAGTCTCGGTTCCACTAAAAACCGGGACTAAAGATGATCTTTAGTCCCGGTTGGTGGCTACAGCGGGCATATTTGATCTTTAGTCTCGGTTGGTGTTACCAACCGGGACTAAAAATGATCTTTAGTCCCGGTTCTAAATCTGTCAGGCCTTGTCAGGCCCTCCGATATCTTTAGTCCCGGTTGATAACACCAACCGGGACTAAAGATAGGATTTTTAGTCCCGGTTGGTGTTACCAACCGGGACTAAAGATCCCAGGGATCTTTACTCCCGGTTGATAATATCAACCGGGAATAAAGCGTACGCACCAGCCCACGCACAAGCGCATGCGTAGCCCCTCTCTCTCTCTCTATCTCCTATCCTTATCTCTTTTTCTTCTCCTTCCTTATCTTCATCCTCTCCCCTTCCTCTTCTCTCACCCCCTCTCCTCCTCCCCTCCCCCTCTTCCTCTTGCAGAGGCAGCCGACGGCGGCGGGATGGGGGACGGGCACGAGCTGGCGGCGGCCGGCCGGCAGTGGCGGGATGGAGGCGGCCGGGCGCGGGCTGGCGGCGGCCAGGCGCGGGCTGGGGCTGGAGGCGGCCGGCCGGCGGCGGCGGGATTGCGGCTTGGCGCGGGCCAGCGGGATGGAGGACAGGCGGCGGCGACCCGGCGTGGGCCGGCGGGATGGAGGCCGGTCGCCGGCAGCCTCGCCCTCCCCTCCTCCAGATCCGGCCAGAGGGGAAGCGGCGGGATGGAGGACGGCCGGCGGCGGCCCGGCGCGGGCCGGCGGGATGGAGGCCGGTCGCCGGCGGCCTCGCCCTCCCCTCCCCCAGATCCGGCCGGAGGGGAAGCGGCGAGATGGGTGGCCGGCCGGCGGCGGGATGGGAGGCCGGCCGGTGAGTCGATTTTTTTTTTGATTTTTTTTAATTTGTGGTTTGGATGTTTTGATCTGTGAATGAATCTATGAATCGATATTGTGAATGAATCTGTGATGTTGTGAATGAGTATGTGACTCGATGTTGTCAATGAACCTTTGAATCAATATTGTGAATATATTTGTGATGTTGTGAATGAATATGTGAATGGATATTGTGAATGAATTTGTGGTGAATCTGTGAATCATGCTGTGGAGTTGTGATGTGGATTTGGGGTTTGATTTGATGATATGCATACCACTCGATTCGGGAGAAAATAAAAAAAAAGGACTAGCTGATGGACTGCCGCTACCCTCTCTTTAGTCCCGGTTGGTGTCATCAACCGGGACTAAAGATCGATCTTTAGTCCCGGTTTTTTCACCCGGGACTAAAGATAGCGATCTTTAGTCCCGGATTGGTAGTCCCGGTTTGAAAACCGGGACTATAGGGGGGTTACGAACCGGGACTAAAAAGCACTTCTCCACCAGTGATTCCTTCCCTATCCATTTCAAAGAACTTGAATGTTCTACACGTACTTCTAACGTTATATGTCTTCTCGATTAATGTTCAGGTCTTCGGACTCAACAGCATGCAAGTGGGACGGGCTAGCCCGCAGGTTTTAAAACTCGTTTAATTTTGCACTGGTTGAAGAAAAAAAATAGTAATTAGTGTGTGGGAGCATAAAACCACCAGATTAATTGAGGTCTTTATAATCGAATCGAATCTTTCCAGTGTAAATAAGATGCTAACATGATATAATTGTTTGCTGCTCTAAATCCACTGATATGGACACTAAAGTTTGAAACCATAAAAAATATTTATTTTTTTATGTATTATTATGAGTCAATTGCAGTACTTTGTTATTTTTTGGTACTAAATATTGATAAACACTTTTTTTTTCATATTGTAAAGAGTAGCCATAATATAAGAAATATTTTTCGCTAGCTATCAGATCAACCTTACTGCACTCCAATTGTGCGAGCAGCGGTGGCAGTGCCCTCCTGGCTATGGCGGCGCCCTTCCTCCCTCCCCGCGAGCGGCGGCGGCGGCTCCCTCCACCCCATATTGCCTCCCAGGCCCCCTGTTGCAGTCCTCCTCTCCCATCTCCCCCTTTTCCTCCCGTCTCGCCGGAACGGCACGGCGACGGGGAGGGAAACCACCGGCAGCGCTGTTTCCCCACGGCCACTCCCTCCCCTTCCTCCACCGGCCTCCCTCCCGCAGCAGGTAGATCTGGCAGCGGTGGCGGCCTCGCGGCAGCTACTGGTGGCAGCGGCGGCGGCTCCCTCCACCCCCGGCAGCCGCAGGTGGCGTTAGCGGCGGCTCCCTCCGTCCCCTGTCGCCTCCCCCCCCCCCCCCCAACTTGCTAAAACGATGGCGGTGGCGGGGGCGGCGGTGCAGCTCGGCAAGCCACTGCCAGCGGCCACTCGCCGGATCTGGCCATGGGAGGCGGTGGCGACTGCTGCTACGGCAAACTCCGCTCGATTTTTGGTTGATTTGTTTTTTTTTATCTCCGTTTGCTATTCTTCTATTCTTGTATTTGGGATCTAACATGAACTGGATTAAAACTTTGTATGTTATTTGATGCGAACTCGTATGTATATGCTTCTATTTGTCTGATTGAATTTCGATTGGCATTTTTTTGGTTTTTTTGGTTGGGGGGTGATGCAATTCCAACTGAGATTTTTGGGGGGTGGGGGGCGGACGGACGAAAATTTGGGCACGGACAATGTAAGGATTGAAAAAATATGAATATTTTAATTAGTTAAGATTAAAATTAAGATTTCTTCATGTTTATACTAGTAGATTAAAATTGAATGTACATGTAAAGAAAACGGGACACAAGTTTATTCATGTTTATACTATTAGATTAAAAAGAATGTACATGTGAGTTGCAGTGGCGAAAACGAGTGCGCTGCCACCTAGAAAAAATGGTAAAGAAAACGAGACACAAATTTAGTTTACACATACAGTGGCATATATATATCAAAGTGAAAGCACTTCTTTTTTTTGTATAGGCAAATTAAACATGGTAACATTTTTCGCTTGTGTGTCAAGCTGCCCTAGCTGGATATAATAAGCAAAGTAGCAATGCCATCTGATCTGCTCTGTTGTCTCTCGGTAGTCAGTAGATGCACGGATCAAAAAAGCCCAAGACAAACATCAGCTGAACATCATTCATGCTCATTCAGCATGAATCTGATATCATGAATGACCAGATTATTTGTCTTGGGACAAATAATCTCTAGACTTCTGGTCTAGTTCCATGTTCAGATCTATACACTTGTTCATGCAGTTCTGATTCTGACTTTCTGACCAGTTGGTAATGCCCCCAGGTATAAGAAAAATCTGGACATTGATCAATCCTACAGCTAAAATTTCAAGGTATCATTCATCTGGTAGGCTGGAAGCGAATCAGTAGTTTTTTTATCTGCAGGGAAACGATAATAAAAGAGTACATATATTTTTTGAGGAAAACAAGAGTATATATATATTGCCTTTGGAAAATAGAAGTGATAATTACATTTTTGTTAAAGAATATCAATTGCAAGTGATAAAACATAAGACGTGATCAGTTACTAAACTATGCATAGAACTGTCTAATCCAACACGGCCTGCCGCCTGCGGTGAAGCATGGCTAGTTGCTGAGTGGGAACATCCCAGACTAATTTCTGCAGCAGATTATTGGTTAATACCTACAATAAATGAAGAGATGGAGCATTCTTGTTTTTATATTTCCAGAGCACGCTCAGCATGACCATGTAATTCATACTGTCTGGATGGAATTTGCAGGCACAGGGCCATTCTGAATTGGTCGAGGCTCTCCGCCATCAGCTAGCACGTTCGACACTCCCATGGATATCCTGGGAACTGCCAATTCTAACTTCATGGAGGTGTATATCAACCACAATGCAACCCATGCTGTTCTGTGCTTGATTAGATTCTTCATGTGCATCGTTTCGACCACCCACATCAGGACTTTGCACATCAGAATCTCTAATTTGGGTGTAATTGGCAAGAATTGACATGGAGAACCTAATCATCAGCATGAGAGTTGAGATACACCCAGTGATGATAAAAAGACCAGAGAAACTCCGCAAAGTGAGAGGTGCCGAATCTGTGTTGGGAATTGCATTACTTGGAGAGACAGCCTCTGCACCAAACCATTTCGTTTCCATACGTGACCCCTCATCCCCACTTGTTACATCCAACATGGCAGTTGAAAGATTATGCACCAGTGGAAAACCAGGAGGAAACACCTGAAGGGGAACAAAAAAAGAAAAAAACATGATCATGCCAGTTAGGCCAGAAAATTTTGTCCAGAATGTAGCATAGCTCTTAAAGGATGATGAGTGAATTAAGCGAAGCAATAGAGCAAGAGGCTTACAAAACCAAAACCGGGAGTCTTATATATGCGCTTAAGCATCTGGAATTCTTTCTGGTAATGAGGGTCTGAGACAATAGCGGTTAAATATGGGATCTCATCAACGATAGCAGACACACCTCCATTCTTGGACCCCTTCCTCAAAGCTTCAGCATATTCCTGTTTCTTTGTGTAGGATCTTAGCCTTCTTTCACTGAAACCTCGTCTTGTCAAAAATGAGTTCACAAAGGATCCCTCTTGGTATCCAACATAATCACCATTATTCAGGAGCTGGTCAAGATATGTCACTGAGGGCTTGAACCTCTTTACAGTTAGAATGGATGAAAAGCTAGCAGTGTAGCTCTGCACAAGAACCAGCACCACGAAGCACCAGATTACCACAACGATTTTTGACAAAGGACTTTTAATAATTTGACCTGTGCATAGTATAACAGAGATAGTAGGTTATTGAAGAAGTACTATGAGAAAATAGTTAAACCTCTTAATACTGCATATAGCCTACTAGTTGAGCCTCTAAGTACTAACCATGAGAAAATGTCAAAGTGGAGAAAGCAAAATAGAGAGCAGTGCTCAACTGCCTTGTGTTCGATCCTTGGTACTCCATGTTTCTGGGATGTTCAATTATCCAAATTACTAATGCGGTGAATAGAAAGAAGATCACAGTGGCAAACCAAAGTTCTTTTGTCAGTGGCTTCAAGAATACCCATTCGATTTTTGATTCAGATTCATTCTTCGCAAGCACAAGCATTGAAACACCAGACTCGGTGTACGGCATTGTGAACTCCACATGGCTAGCTCGATCGGCAATTATGGTTATATCCCCCACTGCTGCATCGTTGATCTGGTAGCAAGAACCAGCAGATATATAATATAAGTACTTGATTCTATAACAATGTCATTAAAACAGAGGGAGTAAGGCTTACCCCTGAAGATACACTCTGTACTAGCTCGTCATAAGAACGGTCGAAGACAACAAACTCATAAATCAGACGGTATGGTAACTTATTCACGGCAGCCTCGAAGAGATCAATGCAGTAGCCAGTGACACCTTGGTCAGTTACATTCACAAAAGCTCTAAAGCCATGTTTCAGTGGCACAGCAATCTTGAGTTTCTTATGATAAACTTCAGGCAAACATCCTAAGTTCCTCCTCACTCCAGCATTTATCCTCTTGGTTTCTGAATCAGGGACAAAGAAAAAAGGTTAGGCCCTGTTTAAATTCCAACTTTTTCCCTTTCAACTTTTCCGTCACATCGAACTTTTCTACACACACAAACTTCCAACTTTTCCGTCACATCGTTCCAATTTCTTCAAACTTCCAATTTTGGCGTGGAACTAAACACAGACTTAGTTCGTGTCAATTGTCAATCCAATATTCTCATGTCCTATGAGCAAAAATGAACTTCACTGCACAATAACAACAATAATTCTTTGCATATATTTGCACATTTCTGTTAGGCGCATTTCATAGAAGTCAAGTACATATGGCAAATTAAAACATTTCCATTTTTCCCTCCTCCACTATATTTTTATGGATACTTGTAAAATTCCGTGTACTGCTTGTTTGATTCTACGATACTGCCATTGCAATAACCATTCACAAACTTGGCCCACATAAGATAAGAAAATTTTAAATAAAAAAAACTAAGAATTCGTGGAGTGAACAAGTCAAGATGAACTCCCCGCAAACTTTTAATAATAAAAAAAATTCTCAAAAAAGAATTAAGATGAAGAGCGAACCTCCTCAACTTAGATGGACGGATGGATATGGGATCCACGGCCTTTAGGGGTTGGGTGCCGAGGAGACACCTACAGGAAGGTAGCTCTGATTCAGACGGTGTAGTTGGTGTGGGGAGGCGGGGATGACTTTGCATGTCAAATTTTAGCCCAACATAAAAAAAATACTACTCAAATTCCGTGCAGGTGGAATTATCCACGATCATAAATATATCCTTCTACCAGATGAGTGTTATCGCAACAAATATGCTACTACCATTTGTAAGTAAGTATGTAGAGTGCTAGACAATAAATTCATAGCCAACATTGTCAAAATATACCTTCATTATGCATAAAATTTTGGGGCAATTGCGTTTTTGACCCTGTTTTAAAGCCTAACTCCCAATTTAACCCTGTTTTCTTAAGTTTGCTCATTTGACCCTCTTTTTTAAAAATGAAGATCACACTTGACCCTATTACGAGAAGGCAACATAATGGTGTTAACCTGTAATAAAAATATCGTTTATGCCCTTGCTCATTTGACCCTACTTTATCAAAAGTTTTTATTTATTTACCCGATTTTGACAAAGGTTTGACAAATTAATTTGTCTTAGATTTGACGAATTTTGATAATTAAAGGTTTGACAAACGTAAATTAAAGGAAACTTGCAGACAAATGTGAGACACAAGCTAGTGAATTAACAGGAACTTGGCAAAGCTTTAATTTGCACTTCACGTACGTAAACCAGATAAACAGAAATCTCACCATACAGAGAGTTAATCGCAAGGACATAGCATTGTCGCATAATTCAGAAAATCTCGTTGGATAAGAAGGTTCAGAAAATAATTAATTCTTTCAAACGAGATTAGCAACACATCCATCCAGCCGGCGCATGGAGATGATGGGCGCGCAGGAGAGGATGAAATGAAGCAGCAGAGGCTAACCATACCGGAGGGCAAGACATGGCACGGCACAGGGGCGTACGTGATGGAGGCGGCAGGGGCAGGCAGGTATGGCGCGTCGTCGTCCCTCCCTCCGCCGCGCGCCAGCCTCCGTCGTCCCTCCGCGACGGACGGCCGAGACCGTAGCCGTGCGCCCTCTGCGCGCCGCCTCCGCCGAAAGCGCGCTTGCAGCTAGCTAGCCGCGCCGCCGAGAAGGCCGAGATGAGTGTGGACCACGGGATGAGGAATTTTGGGGATAGGGTTGAGGGGCATTTTGACCCGTTTGAGCTACAAAATACTCCTTTCGTTTCTAAATATTTAACACCGCTGACTTTTTAAGCACATATTTGACCGTTGTCTTATTTAAAAACTTTTGTGAAATATGTAAAGCCATATGTATACATATAAATATATTAATATATTTAACAATATATAAATGATACGAAAAGAATTAATAATTACTTAAATTTTTTGAATAATACAAACGGTCAAACATATTTAAAAAAGTCAACGGCATCAAATATTTAGAAACGGATGAAGTATTTTTTTATTATTTTTTAAGTGAAACCCTAATGGTGTAGGGAGAACTTAGTCAGACGGTAGCTTCGATTTTAAAAAATATGGTTAAATAGGCAAAGTTAAAAAAAAATAGAGTCAGATTAGTAGTTAATATCTAGAATGGGATCAAATAAGCAAATTGTCCCTAAAATTTTTAGCTACTTATCTCGATATATTGGGATAGAATTTTAACGTAGTTATATAAATAATTCAAAGTGTAATTCGTACTTCCATAGAAATGCTCACCGAAGTATCCGGGGATAATATAAAACTATATTGAATTCGTGCATGCAGCGATATGCAATGTGTACTAGTAAAGTTGAAAAATACAAATAAGTTTAGATCATATTTCTTCACTCATATTAGCATTACCATTGCAATTAAGGCCCAAGCTGTGCACCTCCGTCGCCGCCGCCGCCGCCATTGCCATCGCCGGCGAACTCCAAACCGTGAGCAGGATGACGAACGCCGCCGCCATAGCCAACCGACGGTGCTCCTCCATTGCCGTATTACGTACGTGCAACAAATTAATGTACTGCAAATTAAGCAAGAGCTTAGTCGAGCTAGCTAATTAACAAGTGCTCGCAGTGCATGGACATCTCGAGACGAACGTACTGCATGTGTATATATAAGCAGTAGTACATGTATACAGGAACTAATTAATTAAATAATTAAGTAGAAACTAGAGCTAGGATATATACTCCTACGCGACCAATACACTGTTAAGATAGCTAGCTAGTTGACAGTTTTTAATTACTTTATATGTGTGTGTTTGGTGTATATATGAAACCAGTCAGAAATTCAGAGTGTTTCCCAAGTATATTATATATATAGATCAAGTACAAACTGTCAAGAGAAAGTCTCAGTTATTCAGTTATACTATTCAGAAGTACTCAAGGCTGTACTATATCTACCTACTCCTAACTATACTGTACATGCGTTCTTTATAGTTGACATACGTACGGTCGATATGAAACTAATAAGTTCATGATAGTTATTCGAAAGTACGAATAAATGAATTAAATGTTAGAAAGTTGAATACATTAGTTTAAAAAGTTCTCTGATAAAAGTTGATGGAAAAAGTTTTCAGAAAATAAAAAAAAATTGTAATGTTTAGGAGCTGGACAAGCATAAGTTTTCAGAAAAGAATTAAGGTCCCATCATTTGGCTTATTACTTAATAAATCAAAACGGCTTATTAGGGAATAAAATTAAATTTATACGTAAATCTTGGTGACTTAAAAGCTAATACTGAAAAAGAAACTGCGTAGAAAATATCTTAAAAACAATCTTAAAATTAAATTTGAAAATTTAAAATTTAGCTTTTTCTTTGACTGATTACGCCATCCAATGAGAGACTTAATGAAACCTATCGTAACAACATAAGTATATAGAACTGTTCTTGTATACGAATACGAGTAGATCGAGCAGTCAGTTTTCTTACTACAGGCTAAGGTTATTTATTTTTGGTGATGACCAAATCATTGGGACTGCATGGTTTGACTCGATGGAGTTTTTAGCACCGAACAGGCGCGTCCCCTGTAATGCGGTGCAAATTTGTGATGTATTGCTACGGGGTGCAAATTTGTGATGTATTGCGTCTCGGCTGACGAATTCATTCCCTTATAGTCCAATAATAACTACGCATTACTGTTACATGTCTTGTCGTTTAATGTTCAGGTATTTGGACTATGTTACTCCCTCCGTAAAAAAAACCTAATCTAGTACTCCCTCCGTCCCATAATATAGCAACATAGTATAGGACGAGACATTTCATAGTACAATGAATCCGGACATGCTTCTTGTCCAGATTCGTTATACTATAAAGTGTCACATCCAATTGTTGCTATATCATAGGATGGAGGGAGTATTGGATTAGACGTTTCCTAGCGCAACGAATCTAGACACGTCTAGATTTATTATATTAGAAAACGTCACATCTAATACTAGATTAGCTTTTTTTTTTGACAGAGGGAGTAGGATGGACTAGCAGGTAAGGAAGCCATCCAATGCTGAACAGCAACATAACCCTTTCATGGACTCGTTTCAACCAGCAAAGCTATTGCAGCCAACAGGATGCACTGAAAACTGGACATGACATAGAACAACACTGAAATCTGAACCGAACAAATGACGAGTTCAGGAGTTCACCATTTCTCCCAGAATTTTTTTTCTTTTGATGACAGATCAAGCATGGAGCCGGCTTTTTAAAGAAAGCCCAAAGAGATAACAGAGTCTTTTACAGAAAATAAAATTTGAAAAAGAAACAGCTTTAGGTTTTTGCTGGGGACGCCAGCTTACACCGTGAGCATAGAGGAAACAACACAGCAAAAGCAATTTTTTACTTAAGAAGCAGCACCACAGATCTCCTGGCAGCGTTTGAGGCCTGACTTGCTTCAATTTCTACAGGATTGCTTCACGCCAACTTTGCAGCAGCGCACGCTCCTTCTCTCTTAGCAAGATGCTCCATTTCTGTGCAAAGGACAAAGACTTGAACCACCTGCATTGGAGATTTTACTAGAATGTTTTCAAACACTCACCCATTCCTAGTTAACCACAAAGCCCTGCAAAGACACCCCAGAAGAAAAATCCAAAGTTTAGTCTCCTTTTTATCTTTCTACAAATCAACACAGACCCAAAAACTGTTAGGATAGCCAGAAAGGTCCAGGGCCTCCTTGACAATACACCATGTAAAAAGTGCTAAAGGACAACCAAAAATAATATGAGCAGTGGTTTCAGTTTTGTCATACAACTTACAAAATTCAGTCTCCCCTCTCCATTTTCTCTTAACTAACTGATTTGCACAGGGAAGTCTACCCCTACCCACCAGATAAAGAAAATGCTTAATCTTAAGAGGCAGCCTACTCTTTCAGATCTCACACATCCCGGCATCTTTCACCCCACCAAAAGTCAGGATTCTATACATTGATTTGGTGGTGAAAAGGTTTTTCTTATTATGAGGCCAAACAATCGGATCCATATTCCGAGATAAATCTCTATCTTTCTGCTCATTCAGGTTCCTTCTAAAATTCCCTTATCAAAAACATCACTCATACTTCCAATTCCCTCATCAAAAACATCACTCACACTAGCCCCCTGCTGGTAACTAATCTCATACAAATCAACTGAACCCTCAGAGAGTTTGTCCCACACCACACACCTTTCCAAAAGAACACGGAAACCCCATTGTAAAACTTTTTCTCAATCAACCTTTCCAGCCATTTCTTAAAATAGTGCATCCCTTTCCAAAATTGAGACAACGGTATAGCTGAGCTCTCAAAGAAACTGTCATTACTCAAATACTTCTTCCTGTTGCAACGAGGATGAAGCGATGCCCCCTTGAAGAAGGTGGATCGATGAGGCCGATGACGTCGATTCCCCAGGCATCGAGTAAATGGGCCCTGCTCATGATGGAATATGATATCACTTTTGTACCGCAGAAAGCAATTAAGGGCCAAGCCTTGGCGGAATTTCTTGCTGCACATCCGGTGCCAGATGACTCCCCACTCATCACCAATCTACCGGATGAAGAGACTTCCTAAGTATCTCAAAGCACATGTCAGGACACCCATTTTCTAATTTAAGAATCCACTTACTTAGGAAACATATGTTCATGACCTTAGTATCCAAGAACCCCATTCCACCATAATCTTTTAGTCTTCACAGTGCCTCCCATTTCACCATATGATATTTTCTCTTACCAAACCTTGCCAATAGAATCTACTTCTTAAAGCACCAATCTTGTGGTGAAAACCATCAAGAAGTAAATAAAAAACCATAGATACATTGGGACACTGGATAGACATGAGATTTTTATCTCCCTACCCCCATATGTCAAGTAATTACTGGAGCCTTTTTTCACTTTCTGAGTGATACAACATAATTCCCTCATACCAATCTTCTCAACATGCATAGGCAAGCCCAAGTAGGTGAGAGGCAAATCACCCACTTTGTAGTTCAGCATATCAGCAAACCTTAGTTCGGTACTCTTATCCATCCCAAACCCATAGACCTCACACTTCTAATAAGTTTATTTTCATCCCTGACATTTCCTTAAAATAGAATAGAAGAAATTTGAGCACCAGGATGTTATGATCACCAGCTTTAACAAAAAGAATGGTATCATCAGTATACTGCAAGTGTGTAATACCCCCATCAATTAAATCAGGAACTAACCCCTCAAAAGTTCCACTTTCCTTAGCTTTATCCAAAATAGCCGTCAATGCATCCCCTACTAAATTAAATAGAATGGGTGACAAGGGACCCCCTATCTTAAACCTCTGTAGTTCTTAAAAAAAAGGACCTTACTCTCCATTTATATTTACAGACATCTTCCCTCCCTGGGTTATCTTTTTGATCCACCCAATCATACAAGAATCAAAGTTTTTCTTCTGCATAACTTCATACAAAAAGTCACATTTGACTTTGTCATATGTTTTTTCAAAGTCAATTTTGAAAATGATACCAGCATCCCCCCTCATCTTCAGAGTGTGCATTTCCTCATGCAAAATAACACAACACTCCAGAATATTCCTCCTAGGGATAAAAGCAGTTTGTGACCAGCTAATCACCTTATCAGCCACCTCTATTAATCTCCGTGTTACAGCTTTAGTAATGATCTTGAGAATGACATTCTATAAGCAAATGGGCCTATATTGCTTGATGGTATTAGCATCTTTGATTTTTGGTAGAAGAGAAATAACTCCATAATTAACCCTATCCACATCTAAAGCCCCCATGTGGAGATCATCTAACATTTCCTTTATAAGATATTTGAATTGTGGCCACATTTGTTTATAAAAACCCACAGGAAACCCATCAGGTCCCGGAGCTATATTAGATTTCATACTTCTAATCACAGCTTCTACCTCATTCATAGTGAAAGGTCTGACAATAGTTGTTTTCTCCTCATCAGATAGTCTCAGCTTCTTGGCCCAAACATTATCATGCAAGTGAACCTCCCTGTAGTGATCTCTGCCAAAAAGTTTTTTTTGTAGTAATCATAGATGTGTTGTTGAATCTGCCTCAAATCTGTGATGACCTCTTCCCCCTACTGCAAAGAAAAATGGCTCTTTCTTTTCCTCCAATTAGCAGCCATGTGGAAGAAAGAAGTGTTGGAATCCCCCTCAAAATCCAATTCTTACCACATCTTCTTTGCCACCAAATTTTCTCCTGGACGTCTAATTCCTTTTCGAACTCATATCTTTCCCTCTATTCAGATTCAAACAACTCCCTCTCATATTCAAACAACTCCTCTCATATGATCTATGATCTCTGTCAATTTCTGTTCTAATTATTCAAACAACTCCTCTTATATGATCCTATTTATTTACCCCGATACAGCAAATGAACATGAAACATCCTCCTAAAATAGGAAAAGAGTGAATAAAAACACAGTAGCACCAAATGTGCACACATGAATTATCTACCATTAGTCCATAACTAGTAGAAATATTTAACAGAAGTTAGAGTACACCATTAGTCCATAACTAGTAGAAATATT